TAGAGGGAAGATGAAGGCAGGACTAGAGAACTTGTCTGACAACAAAAGGGAGAATTATTAAATCAAAGATTGAATATTATCATGATGGGCTTCCAAATCATACACACAGGTACCTAGTTACACTGCCAGGTTTGTGAATCCTAAACTTAGTTTCTGAGAAAAAAAAATAAAACTTTACTTACTAACTTTAGAGAAACAAATAATGTGGTGAACCTGGCTTGGGCATCACTTCTTGGTATATCTTGTGCAGGGTCCAGAATGAGCACAGAGGCTTTTTCATCTTCCCCCTTTCTATAACCCTAGCCCCAGGGCAGGAACTCAAATGGGCTTCTACTATTGACAGTGTCCCTGATGCTCTTTGGATCATGACTTGGCTGTGAAGGACCCTGCAGAGGCTTGTGCTCTATAAAAGTTACAAATTTGATTGATTCTCATGTCTCTAAGCAGCGTGGTTGTGACAACGGCACCGGTCTTGCCTATTAAAGCAGATGCAGCTTCATCAAAAAAACCGTTTATTTTGTTGGAACTTAGGTCTATCTACTTAGATAGGGCTATGGGGGAAACCTAGACTTGGCAATTGCTCCCTTTGAACTATTGAGTTTCCCGGGACTGCACATGTGGGCGTTGGGAGCCTGCTCCAAAGAAAGCAGATGCAGTGAGGAAGTGTGGGGGCTTGAATTGACATCCTCAAGGTGACTCTCAACCACTGAGGAGGGTGAGGGATTCGGGATGGAGAGTAGGGAGGGTGGAGATTGGGGAGCAGAGAAACTCTCTACCTTGCCTCTCCCACAGTGGCTCAACTCCACAGAATTCGTTAGACGTTCTCAGTGCTCCAGGGGTATTCACCCCATGATGGCCCCCTTCCTTTCCAGCCTCACTTTCTTCACCTCCTTCCTTCTGTTTCCTGGGACTAGATCCAAAGCAAACCCTCTGCCCTAGGTTTTAGCTTCAGGATCTGCTTTTGGGGCAGCCTAGACTGTTTAAAACACATGGCTGCTCATTACGGAAAATCAATACTTTTGCAACTTGATTACGGGACAGAGAGAAGACCACTTTCTGCTCCACCATCATTGGGAGCCTCCCAGGCTGTCTTAATCACCTGGATACGCTTGCTTCTTTCCTCCCTGACTGACAGTCTCCCCCTCTCCAGGGACCGTTTCCATTGTCTGCACTCCTTAACTATAGCCTGGAGACTCAGGATCAGACAGAACAGTTGTGGGGCGATGTGATGCAAGCCTGCCATGGGGGGGGGATTATTTTATTTCACTCTTGGATCGACTGGGGACGCTTTAGAAAGACACATGGAAACAATTGAAAGACTTTATGTCTTCTTGGAGCAATGCATATTTATTCAAATTATAGTTGGATCCCATCGTGATACAGGATTTTAGGAAAAAGTCTTGGGTTTCATTTTCAAAGTGATAGATTTCTTATATTGTATAGTTTTGGACAGAAACAGAATGACCTAGTTTGAGGGTTCAGTTAGAATTCTGTATTCTTCACAGAACATTTTCCCTACTGAAAACAGATTCTTTTTGCCCAAGGATCTCCACAGTTCTTGTTAACGGTGGTGAGTTTTTACATTTTCACGTCAAGACAGACCTCAAGTGCATCACCCACTACTAATACTTTAGGCTTTCTTTTTCGTCTATCAGCATGGCCTTGTCTTTTCTTTTTAACTTTGAACATCTGAAAAGATTCATTAACTTGACCTTCCTTTCGAATTAGCTTTGCCAGGACCTCACTGCTTAGAATTAAAGAGATTAAATTGATCTTGAGTTTGTCAAGCAGACTATGAACTTCAAATGCTGGGAAGGTCAGTCTTGCCTGAAGGATAGAAGTTTTTGTACTCAAGAAGGATGAGACTGAAGAACTTGGACTCTCCAGTCGCTTGCTTTGACCTGAACAGGATGAAAGAAAACACCTAGCTCCACACTGTTCCAGTGAGGGATTGGTTATGGGCGGAGCTCTTGAATGCTTCTGTACAAAGAGGGGATTCACTGCCTCAGCCCTTCATAGCCTACATGGAGGTCTGAAGCTTTGTGGCAGAAATATACTTTATGAATATACTATGGACTGAATTAAGTATTACTTCTAATTTTTATGCTGAGCCCCAATCTCTAACGTGATGATATTTGTGAGAACTCTAAGAGATAATTGGGTCTAGATAGTCGGGAATGTGGGGCCCCTTTGAAGGGATGAGTGCCCTCAGAGAAGAGCTTGCTGTCACTGTTTGAGTGAACACAGGGCAAGAACACAGCCATCAGTAAGCAAAGGGGAGAGCCTCCACCAGGACCGGATCTGGCTGGCACTCTGATCTTGGACTTGTAGCACCCAGAACTGTGAGCCAATTAACTGCTGTCAATTCTGCTTCCATTCTGTGGTATTTCAGCAGCCCAGACCAGCATACAAGCACCACTAGAAGCAAAGTAGGACTCAAATATTGTCTTTCTTTTTCCCTTGGAGATTTTTGACTTACAATTCTCCTGACAGCTATAGTCCCTGGAATCAAGCATATAGGGACAACACACAAGGATGAAAAAGTTTGGGTTGCTTCCCAAATTTTTATGTTTGCCAGTTATGAACTATACTATCAATCTGTAACGTCCTAAGGGAGTGGATTTTCCTCTCTATAGTCGATACTTCAATAAGCCTGAAATAAAAGAAAGAATATCAATGGTTGGTTGACAGTTTTCCATAAGAAAAGTTTGCCATTATTGGGTTTATCTAGTTTCAGAAAGAAATATTTAGAAGTAGCTTAATGTCTGTTTCTTACCCCCCCCCCCACTTACAGTTGTTTTGGTTCTTTGCATTTAGTAAAGAGGAAAAAAAAAAAAAGGCCCATCCTTGAGGCTTTTACTTGGAAGTGGGTTGGTGTGTAATGGGTTTTGGCATAATTCCCTAAGAGGGCTGTTGATCTGCCCAAGCCTAGTCTTTTTCAAAGCCGCCAGACTGACTTTTGCAGAAATGTTTATTCTTTTAAGTGTGCAGTAGGTGCACACAAGAAAATGAGCATACACCCCTACACATACTCTAATCCATCATTATAAATTCTTGCAAGAGATACAGACTAAATATATAAAAAAAGAACAACTTTCCTAATGACTCATAATGTTAAGGTTTACTCTTGCCACAATAAAAGTGGGCAATAAACCCACCCACTTGGAATTTTTTTCCTTCACCAAGCCACTACCCCTTACAAGCAGTTTCCTTTGACACACGATTCTCTTCCTCCAGTCTTTAACCCTGTATTTGTCAAAATATCAAGCAAGTTATGTAGGATGATGGTTAAGGATCTAGATACTTGAAGTAAATATCTAAAGGGAATCTAAGATGTTCAGGTATCCAGATGTATAGAACACTTACTGTCACTGTTGCTTCTGTAGAAAAACACCAACGTCACCCACCAAACAATTCCTTGTTTCTCATAGATCCAATGACACTTACATGGATCTACTTTTGAGCTCTTTATCCCATGCCACTGGTGAACTGGTCTACCTTTGTGCGAGAGCAACCCTTGTCAGTGGCTCGAGCTAAGCCTGGGTTTCTCATCAGGCATTTTCCATCTTTTTATCTATGAAATGCTGCATGTGTAAGAACCTTGCTGCATTAGTTACTTTTGCTGTAACTGTAACAAAGTATTCTACAAAAGCTACTTCCTGAAAGAAGGAAGCATCTATCTTGGCTTACGGTTTAGGGAAACACAGTCTAGCATGGCGGTAAAGTTTATGGCTGTGGACTGTGAGGCAGCTGGTCACAGGATTCAGAAAGAGATGAATGCTGGCATTTTAGATGGCTTTCTTTTGTCTCTACGTTTAAGTTTGATCTGAGATCTCAGCTCATGGGGTTGTTCTGCCCTCATGCAGGGTAGATTTTTCTTCCCAGTTAAACCTCTCTAGAAATGCCCTTCTAGACATACCCACGAATGTGTTTCCTAGGTGAGTCCAAACACAGTCAAGTTGAAAATGAAGATTAAGAACCCTGATATATCACTTTAAAAGATAACATTCCATACCTGGCCCCTAAAACCTCATAACAACTCATCTTATAAAGCAGTACACATTTAGCTCACCTTGAAAAGCCATCCAATCCTTAGTAGTGCCAACACCGTTCAAAAGCACAGATTCTAACAATCTCCGCAGGGCTGCAAAGCAATCTCTTATCTATGAGCCCTCATAAAGCATAATCAATTAGTTACATCCTACTGATGTTCCATAGCACAGAATAGACGTCTAGCTCTCAAATGGAGTGACGGGGGGGACTAGCAAGGAAATCAACAAATCTTACCTGTTAAATCTCACCTGTTGCTTCAGTGGCAGGAGAAGCCCTGAGTGTCTACTTAGCAGTCTCAACCTTCAGTTCAATGGAACCATCGTTGTTCCCCTTCCCACACAGCAGGAGAGTTATTACCCTGGGACCAAGACTTCTTTATCAGTAGGCCCAAAGTTGCAGTTATAAGACGCAGATGTTTTTCTAGTGGTTCACTGGGTTTAGTAGTGAGAACCGCCACTGTGTCTGCACCTGCTGATATTCAACCCCATGAATCTTGGCTATGGGAGAAATCAATACCATCACATACCGGTTACTGACTTGGGTCATGCACTTACACCTAGAAGGTATTTCCCCTGCTATGAAAGATGTTGTTGCCCTCTGGCTGATATCATAAAGGAGTCTTCAAAAGTCCATTTCACTGTCCTTGCAACCAAGTTAATTCTAGGTGATGGAGAACAAGGGAAGACCAGTGAATTCCATGAGCACAGGCCTTTTCTACACGTCACTTGTCGTGACCAAGTAACTCCTTAGCTATAAATAGTATAAGTAGTGCATGTAAGATACGGTGCCGATGGTAACCGCAAATGGTAGCTTTAGTGGAAGAATTGCAGACAGGAAAAGAAAGGTCACAGCCGGAGTAACTGTCTCCTTTTATAAAACAAAGCTCTACTCTTAGTGTAGTTGGAGGAGTGAACTTACTAAAGCAGGCTGTTACTAGGGCTCTGTCTGATGCTGCAGGGAACTGTCAGACAGTGGATTAGCATTAAACTCCTAGCCTTGCTGGCTATAGCCAAATTGACTTTAGTGAGTGGAAATCACAATGCTTAGCCTCCACACGGTCTGCAACCCTGCCATTGCTCTGTTCATGAGCATATTGGGCAATAATGAAAGTGCCCAAATGATTGGTTTGGAATGCTGGAAACTGGTGTTTCTAGAAGAGCAATCTGTATGATGGAAATTCTTGAAAAATTTTAAAGTTATTTTACAATATATTTTGTGTTTTTCCCAGATCCCCCTCACCTCTCTACCCAAACAACTTTATGCTCTCATTCTCTTTTCACAAAACAAACAAAAACAAAACCAACTCCGACACACACACACACACACACACACACACACACACACACGAAAATCAAGCTGGGCTGTGGTGGTGCATGCCTTTAATCCCAGCACTTGGAAGGCAGAGGAAGGCAGATCTCTGTCAGTTCGAGGCCAGTCTTTTCTACAAGGGCTAGTTCTAGGATAGGCTCCAAAAGCTACAGAGAAACCCTGTCTCTAAAAAACAAAACAGAACAAACAAAAAAAAATGAAAATCAAAATAAATAAACAAAAGACTAATAAGAAAAAAGCCCAAACAAAGCAAAATGAAACAAAAGGGTCTCAAAAAAAAAAAAAAAAAAAAAAAAAAAAAAA